GCACTGTCGGGGAAGCCTGTACTACAAGGAAATGCAGCTCCCACTTGTTATTCCTGTCCTTGTCTTCATCTATCCTTCAATATCAGAGGATTGCTATGATGGACTTTAATTAAAAGTGGGGCTCTGGAGTCAGCTAGACCCAAGGACTGTGGACATGAGAAAGGGTCCTTCAAGCCTACAGCTTCAATCAAGCTGCTAAAATGCGTCTGGCTGCGATGAGCTGCAGTTACATGGGGACACCTCTGAGAGTAAGCTTAGGCCAGCTCTTTAGCTCTGATAGACACGTACTTTCATGGCAGTCAGGCATAACTCAGAGGGGAGGGATGATTTTAGGATCTGCAGCTTTCCCATAGGAGAAAAAATACCACTGAAGCACCAATGTACAGCAACGCATCAGATCTCCAGCTACTCTGGTTGAGATACCCGTGGGGTGGCTCTAATTGCTTCAAGAGGCAAACCAACACAATTACTGTCACCATCCAGCCTATTACAGCTCCGCACAAGGCATTACAAAATTACTGCTGGAAAGAGAAAAGCCAGCACGTTAGTGACTAAGTCATTTAATACTCTTCCCTCTTGATGAGTAGCTGGCATCCTGACAAGGAGAAGAAAGAAAGATTACAGAAGAAATCTGTACACCTGTGAAGTAAAAAGCAAACTCTTCTTTATATGTGAAAGCAGCAGCAGCAGAGTCTGCCTGCTTTTACCAGTGTTGGACAAGCCCAAGCCATCTGAGTCAGCTCCTGGGTCTAATTAACCAAGTGGTAGGTCGGTCCCAGCATCTGCAGACACAGTGGTCATTAACGAAATCTGGTGACTGGTTAAATGAACACCTTTGGGTTAGAGAAATACAGCAATTAACTGATCCACATTTTAAACAATTGCAGCATGAACAGCAGAGCCCCAGGAGTCACAGAGCAATGACCCGTAACCTCATTGCCGACAGGCTGCTTTGCAGCTTAGATGTGCAGCAGCATATCAAAGAGAGTTTCTGTTCCTTGCTCTTGGAAGACCAATGGTGAAGAAAAAAAATTGTCCTTAGTTCAACTTCAGCTTAAACTGTAACCCTGGAGGCACAGTGTTGGCAGATGTGCCTGCTTCGCTCCTGTATGCGTCCTTCCTGCTCATCCCAGCATGAGCGCTGAAATGGTTGATAGCAAAGACTGCACATTAGTCAAACATGGGCGACCAGGAATGCTGCTGAAAAGAGCAAAGATCTCCTCAGGTCACAGCATGGCATCTTTTGCCTTGTAAGCATGAGCCCGTGGTGTTACCCTGCTCAGTGCACCCGTGCAGTATTCAGTATCTGGGCGACACTCAGTCTGGACAATCAGCCACAAGCAGGAGGCCCCAGAAAATGCTTTTTTGGACTTTCTCTTCTCTGCCTGCTGCTCTACAGCCCTTTCTCACTAGCCCTCTGCTCCTCTGCCACAGGGACTGGGGCAGGCAGCCACCAGCCGAGGCAGCTCTCGGCATTGCCTGGCAGCACTTACGCTTTATCTCTTTGTCCAGCCCCTGGATGTGCCTCCATCCCAACACCAAACACCACCAATTCCTAGATGGATGGCTAAACTAGAGCTGCTTTAAAGCAGACCATGTCCCAGGACAACAGCTTGGAGAAAGGTGGGGAGGGCCACATCGGCATCCACAAATGCTCAAGAAGGCAGGTCTGGTGGAGGAGGGAGGACACAGGTTGTGAGAACAGAGGTACAGTGTGAAGATCCAGCGGGAGATAACCTACAGCCCAGCACGGGGCTGTAGCCTTTGAACAGGCAATGGGTTGCTGCCCCTGCTTGTTGCATGATGATGCACCGCTCCCTAAACCTGCTGGGATGTGACCACCGTTATCCCCAGGGGCTGCCCTGTGGGTCTGGCCTCGCCAGAGCACTCACTGTACGGGAAGCGTGCCCATGCCTTGTACCCAGACATGGCAAGAGTGTTAAGGGATGTGTGGGAAAGGGTCCTGCAGGCTTTCCAGAAAAAACTCCTTCTTCCACTGCTTCAAGTTTAAATGCCCTAGTCTCATCCGTTTTCCTAAGCTTGCTCAGTTGTGGGACAGGGAGTTGTGTCTATCTTCTCTCGAAGTGCCAGTCATCCTCCAGCCAGGTCTCCACCAGCCATGGAAGAGATTGCACACCTCCTGGCAATTTTGGCAG